AAATTTCGGCTTCGAGCTGTTGTCATAACTCCAAGCTCAACTGCCTGCTGATCTTCGTGCATTGCCCCGGGAGTTTTCTGATCTGGAGGTCATCGAGCTCGTCAAAGGGACTCGATCGTTCATCATGGGAATCGAAACTCGGGTCGAGATCAGTGATCTCCACATGGGTGATGTGAGCCACCATTGGAGGATCACTCTTGCATCGCTCGCCGGACGAGGAAATTTTCAGACTCTCGGTGTAACACTGCCGAGCTGTCTTCTGGTTTGCCTTGATAGAAATAATCTTCCCATCACTCCCTGGGAATTTCATGGTGAGGTATGGGGTAGACACCACTGCTCCGAGTTGATTCAAGGTCGGCCTCCCAATGATTATGTTGTAGGAAGTGTTGGCTTCCACGAGGAGGTATCGGACCATAATCCGCCTTGTGTCGGGAGAGGTCCCGAAGGTTGTCAGCAGGTCCACGTATCCCCGAGTGTGCACTCGCTCTCCTGCAAAACCGACTAGGGGCTCTGTGTGAGGTTGGATGAGAGAGTGGGGGATGTCTAACCTTAGGAACGTCGGCCAATACAGGACGTCAGTCGAGCTCCCTTGGTTAATCAGTGTCTTGTGGACCTCCCAATTAGCTACCTCCACGGTGATGACCATGGGGTCATCCTGGTTGGGGCTGATGCCAGCGTAGTCGTCGTCGGTGAAGGTGATCGGTGGTGAGCTTTGGTGCGAAGCCGAGGTAGTGGAGTGGACGCTGTTGATATTGCGCAATTGTCTCTTCCGGGCCGAGTTGATGGCGCCTCCCCCTGCGAAACCACTTGCAATTGTGTTGATTACTCCCCGTAGGGGAGCTGACCCTGTTTCCTGGCTTACCTCGGCTTGCACTGCTCCACTGGCGTTTTGCTGAGAGCCAGAGGGTTGGTTCGTGCGAGCTCCCGAACCACGACCTCTGCCTCGTCGTCGTCCACCATAGCCTCCTCGGTGACCCTGCTTTTGTTGGACATATTGGCCGAGGTGTCCCGCCTGGATGAATTCCTCAATACGGTCTCGGAGTGTGCGGCACTCTTCAGTGGTGTGACCGTGGTTTTTGTGATACCGGCAGTGTTTGGACTTGTCCACACTGTTGGGAGTGTGACCTGGTGGTGGCAGGGTGAGCAGGTTGCTGTTACTAGCCTCCTCTAGGATGTGAACTCTGGGCATGTTTAGGGGAGTGTAGAAGTCGTATCTCCCCCCCCCCCCTTGCCTGTCCTAGCAATTTTCTTGAACTGGTTGTCATTGGTAACCTTCATCTTGTCTTTGTGACCACTGTTAGGCTTCGCTTGTGATTTCCGGCGAACCTGGTCACAGAAGGCAGAGTGCTCCTCCATTTGGATGTACCCAGCAGCACGGGCGCGGAGCTCGTCCATGTTGCGAGGAGCCTCACGACATAGGCTATCGATAAACGGTCCGGGCTTGAGTGCGATGAGCATGGCATGCAGGGCGACTTCCGGGTTTAGATTCCGGATTTTAACCGAGATGTTGGCGAAGCGCTTCATGAATGCTCTCAATGACTCAACGTCGCCCTGGCGGAGGCTAGCCAAGGCGGCCGATGTGACATGGTGGGGTCGACTGGTGGCATACTGGGCCGTGAACTGCCTCACCAGAGTGTGGAAGTTGTCGATGGACTCAGCCGGCAATTGGGTGTACCAATTGATTGCGGCCCCTTTGAGCGAGGTTGGAAAAACCTACACAGAATAGCATCGTTATTGGTGTAGAGGTTTACCTGTGTGGTGTATAGGTCGATGTGTTCGTCTAGGTCCGTCGTGCCGTCGTAGCGGTCGAGGTGGAGAGGCTTCCATCCGAGAGGGAGTGGCGTCTCCATAATGCCATCCACAAAAAGATGACGGCGGAATGTTGCTTGATCCCCTACGACATGAGTGGGAGTATTGCTGACCTCACGGGCCGACTTGTTTGTCGGTGCATGAGACCGATACGTGGCAGGCCATGGAGTCGGTGCCCTAGGCACAGTTCGGGGTTGAGAGACCGAATACCCCTCTTCCTCGTGCAGGTTGCTCGCTTGAGGAGGATGATCAGAAGGGCGTCGAGGGAGCTGGGCGCGAATCCGCTCGTTCTCAGCGCGCAGCACCGCTAGGTCAGCCTCATTAGCGGTCCGCATCGCTGTTAGGTTAGTTTCGTGCTTGGCACGCATGTTTTGCAGATCGGTGTCGCATCTGTTCGACCTGGTCGATCAGTCTCCTCAATATGGCTTCGTTATCCATGGTAGCCGTGTGGTCTAGGTCGTGTGTTGCGCGTCTGCTATGGCTTCTGGTGCAAACCATAAGCGTGGCCGATAAGAGTTGTCTTGATCAGCCCCACGGTGGGCGCCAAATGTTCTTACTGGGGATCAGAGGTAGGGATGATCCACTGGGTAAGATCGGTGAGCATCCTTCACTGGTACGTTGATGCTCCAAGATGGGGATGGTACCTGCAAAAGAGACTCCGATGCTAAAGTTAGGGTTTGTGGGAGTATGAGTCTCGTATAAGTAATGCACGTACCTTTGTGTGGATTAGGATTTTATTGGGCCTTTTGGGCCTGAGATCAGTTATGATCTGTTTAGGTAACGGACCTCGTCTTGGACGAGGTCATCGAGTGCGTGTGCGAGGTGCACATCCGAGGTCATCCTGCACTGCAAAACCGAGCTGAAGCTCGGCTTTGCGGTACGGATAATACAATTATTATTATTATTACATATATTATATTATATAGCAAATTTGATATTTATTATACGGTAAATTAAGCTAAATTTGTTATAATTTGATATTTTCTTTATTATTTAGATATACTAATTTATGTGAATTCTTTAGATTTTAAAAAAGAAATATGTTAAAAAAAATTCAAAATAAATTACAATATTTTTAAAAAAAAATTAACAATCAACTATCAATTCATTCTTAAACAACATGAATCAAAATATCTAACATCTTTAGTTAATGGATCAATTTGGCCTGATCAATTTTTAGCGAGTTAAACATATCTAAATGAATTCAACTAGTCCATTTTAATATATCTAATACTTAGATTGTGATTATATATTTAAAGTATTTATTGTCGATATTTATAGTTTTTTCTTGGTCCTTTTTCTTTGACATCATTATCATACGAGACATTATAGTTATAGTTTCATGAATATAATTCTTCAATGGGAGGTCAACATCGACTATAAATACTTAATCCACAAGGGAACTGACAAAAGTAGAATGTAGAACCTTTAGCTTTGAATGTACCACCCGTGACATGCCACCACTCTTGAAAGGGGCAACCGACACCACACTTTTCTTTTTTCCTCACACCAATGGATTATTAATTTTTAATTGGATAATAATTCATAAAGTGTAGTATTAATAAAATAATTTTTATCTCTTTTAATAAATTTATACTACCTAGTAGGAAAAATGATATCTCTTAATTTTTTAAAAAATTAAATATAAAATAAAAATAAATAATAAAATAGATAGTTATTTTCCTCTTCACATTTAAGATATATAATAATTTATTTAAAAATAAAAATAAAAAATAATTACAAACTTTAATACCTCCTTTATAATAAGTATAAATAATATAAATATATTAAAAAAAATATCTCAAGTAATATATTTCTACAGGTTGGAGGAGAGTTTTGTCACTCATAAACTCGTGTTTTACATCATCTATGTTATTATTAGAAGAAACAAAACTTAATCAATTGTATTACTTTGTGAAGAACTTTAGATATTAATTTTGTAATTACTTTGAGAGAATTTCATTATCATAATAGTCCTGCCTAGTTTAAACTTGATCATTTCTAGAAGAAGTTACATGTGATATTATAAACCAAAAAAATTAAAATTCTATATTATTTATACAATATTGTTATATAAAAATATTTTTATGTCAATCATTAATTTACACATCAAAATATAATTAATGCTAACAAATTGCTTTAAATTTTGGAGGCCAACATAATAGATGATAAAATTTTATATATTTGATAAACTTTTAAAATTTGAATTACTTGATTATTAAAAATAACTTCAACTAAGCTTAACAAGAATGAAAAGGTAAAATTAACTATCAAAATAAAACAATATATTTATACAATAAAGATAATACACTTTTCTTTCGTATACACATTTTTATCTTTCTGTTGAACCATTTTCTTTCGATTAAAAACCATTCACTTGTAATCCGTATTATTTTTACAAGTAGTAAAAAGACATTTCGTACCTGCATTGTATTAAAAGAAGAAATAATTAAAAATGAAAAAAATGAAAAATTATTCATAAAAAAAGGTAGTTATTAAAAATTAAACAAAAGATAAAATGGTCCATATAAAAAATGAAAACTAAAAGTAGTATTCCTTTTTATATTAGTATAGATATTAAATAATGAGTTAATTACCTATACATTGTCAGTGAAATTTTTTTACACTGACAACCAATTATATCTTTTAATTATGTCATGTCACTATAAACACATTTACTTTTAATGGTAACATGATATAATTAAAAAATATAATTGATTGCTAGTATAAAAGAAATTATACTGACAATGTATAGTTAATTAATTCTTAAATAATTAGAAAAATTCAAATGATCACTTTCTCTGGTATATAATTTGACATAGAAGATGTCTTTTTATAATGTGAATTTGATTTTTCTTATAATCATTAAAATCTTATTTAAATTGACATATTTACTTAATATATTTTTTAATATAAAGGTAAAATTTTTATGATAAACTTACAAACTCTCATCTTAGTAAGTAGGAGGTCAAATTGGGATTAATAAATTCATAAATACTTAGTTTGAGAGTCTCAACATATTGTTAACTATCAGCTAGGTAATTATGAGGTGTTCTATCATTTTTACTTGATTAAAAAAGAAATAGAAGCTAAATCGGAAAGTATTTAAAAGTACCAAAATAAAAAAAAAAATAAAAAAAAAACCACAAAAATGTTATTATTTAAAAGTATATAGAATTATAAAACAAATTAGCGGCAGCACAGTGACAAAAAGGTGATGTACAATTGACAAAATCCACGGACCTCAATCACGGCGTGGCTATGATAGATTCCTGAAGTACATTGTTGTCGTGTTGATCCAACTTTTGCAGAGGTTTCTGTTGAAACACAAATGGAACCGAAACTACTTCTAACGGTTTTATTGATAGTGTCTGCAACTGCTGCATCTGATTACATTCGACCTCTGCCTCGAAAAGCCTTACATCTTCCATGGGATTCTAAACCCTCCTCTTTCCC